AGTTCGGGAAAGCAGACTCCTTGAGTAAATAATGTAGTCAGATCCTCGTCGCAAATTCTGTCGAGCACAATGCACAGGCTCGTCAAATGCGATGCCCGAATGCGGAAGTCGGAAACTTTTCGGGTCCTCAGTGCAAGTGTTAGATGACGAAGGTTGTCGTAGCTCAAAGGAATGAGGCTTTCAGGGATGTCGCCAGTGTGTTTGAAATTGTGTTGGTGTTCACTGGACAGGAGGTACATAGATTCGAGTCTTTCTGCCAAGTGTGTATCTCTGAGGACGGTTTGAATGATCTGTATAGCTCATCAACACATGTAAAGGACCCCCAAGCAGATGATGGAGGTAAAATGCAGGCAAGTATTCAAAAATGACCATTGGACGGTTGAGGAGTCGGACTTACGTGCATAGGGTCAACAGCCTCGCTGTAAACCGTGCCGACCCACGCCTTTTCACCTGCATCATTAAATGTAAGGCTGAGGCTTGCGATGACACAAACCAGATGGCGGATCTTGGGGGCCAGGCGAATGATTGCGACCAGTGTTTCCGAGCGGGTATCTCGAAGCCATGCGCAATGCGCATGAAATTCGTCTCTTCGAGAATCGGCGATGACACTCAAGTGATGCGTGTAGCCTTCTTCCGTGAAGAGATGGTAAGGTGAAAGAGTTAGATATGTGAGCCTAGTCGAGATTTCAGGTAACTCGAGAAGGGCAGCTAGGTTCCGCAATGTCCCTTCTTGGCACTTTGTTGGGAGATCTTCCAGGATCCAAACGAAGGTCTGCCACGCCGCCGTACGTAGACGTCGACAGGTCAACCGAATGTTGTAGATGTCGGGCCTCTCTGTTTCGTTCCAGTAGTCAGGGTCGAGACAAGCGAGATTTTTATGGCGTTGGCGAGGTACGAGGTATGCGAAGATTTGCTCATGGATTTCCAACGGCAGGGTTTCGAGGCTCGTCATGCCGAGGGAGAGCTACTTCGGTGTTGGCTACCGGGTTGAGGCGATCAGACTACACAGAACTTTGTGAGTGACAAGGAAGATGATGGCTCGATGTGAGAGGAGTGTCAGAGTCAGCTCCAAGCTGTGGACGTTGCAGTGCCCTAGGTATGGCGTGCAGATGCAATGCCGGTGTGCGGCACAGCCCTGCTGGCAGAGTCATCATGCCAAGAGGTGGCATGTAGCTTCGCGACTGAACTCGATCGGATCTCGCAAGAAGCGCTTTCTCGGATGCTCTAGCATTGACGCGAGCTCTAGGTGGACAACGTCGAGTGGAAGCGCTGGAGGTCATGGTGAGGTGGTAGTCACGTGGATGATGATGAAACAGGGTTAGACATACGGGGAGGCAGCTGCGCATCAGCTCGGATCAGCAAACATCACGTCGGCCATCCTCACGCGTCGAGACATCTCCAATAGGACGCCCAGCCTCGCTCGAGTCGCCCCTTCCTCGCGCACCCTCGCACTCCCTCGCGCACTGCCAGAAGCACCGCGGGCATCGCGCGCACCTTTGCGCCTGCCCTCTCTCCGCCGTCTGCACGCCGCGCCGCTGCCGGTCGTGGTTCCCCAGGCCGAAAGCCCGTCCCACCGCCGCCCCACCGCGAGTCGACGAACTGCAGCGCCGTCACCACCATCATGTCCGGCCCAGTCGCAGTTGCCCGCCCAGCGCAACCTCCTCGCCTGCGCCGCGAGTCTCAGCGCCCGGGAGTTGCGCGCACTGCCACGCGCCAGTCCAACATGGAGGACGAGGGCGCGAAGCACGACGAGGCCAGGAAATATGGTATATTCACTCTTCGCTACCGCTTTCGGCACACGCGCTAACATATCTCGCAGTCTACACGCAGCAAGACATCCTGGCCAAGCACAAGGGCAAGCCGCCGTCGCTCCGTGTATACCTGCACCCCAAGCACTTCCGCCTGAACGACTCCCAGGAGACGCTGTCCTACCAGTCGCCTATGCGCGAGCTGCTGCAGGCCATCCGCAACAAGGAGGTGCCGCACAACATGGTCGAGGAGCTCTACGAGTTCAACACGCCTTGGTACGACGACTGCCTCATCGTTGAGCTTCACGACTACCGCTCGGCCGGCGTCAAGCCCAAGGATGACACCAACAGCACTGGCGAGGCCGGCACGAGCGCCTTCTCTATTCATAATTACAACAACTTTATCACACCCTCTCCATTCGCACCCTTTCCAGCCAAACAGGCCGATGCGAAGGCCGCCCAGGCCAACGCGCAGAGCAAAGACGGAGAAACCAAAGAAGACAAGGAGAACATGCCCGCTCCTGGTCAGAACGGGGCTCTGACCAAGCAGCCAGGCATCGCTAAAGTCGGCACAGTGGTACTGTTTCCAACGCAGCAGTCGCGATTGGCCGACATGCAGCTACTGGCCACCACGCCGGTACCAGACATGGCTACCCTCAAAAGAATGCAAGCCCAGGGCAGAGCTGGAGGCATGCCGCCGACTCCCATGACGGCAGTACCCTCCACGCCCACCTTTGCGAACGGCCCAAGCCCGAAACGCCAAAAAATGGTCCTCGATGATAGCAACGTACACGAGTTCGAGGCCGAGTTACTGAGGGCCACCTGCCCACCCCTCTATTTGGAGCCCACTAAGAGCTTCGGTGAATCGCTCGCACTTATGGATGCCATCACACATCCGAACAACAAGAACCCCGCCCCTCCACGCAAGACTCGCAAGAGGACCACCGCCGAGCTGGCTGCAGACGAGGCAGAGGCTCAGGGTCTACAGCGCTATATGTTGGCGGGCGACGAGTACCAGAGCAATATGACGGCCACAGCCGCCGGCAACGACGACAACGCTGTGCGCGCCGCTGCCAACTCCCAGACATTTGCCCGCTTCAAGACCATTGCTAACATCCGCGCAAACCATGAGGAAGCCGACCGGAGGAAGAAAGAGGAAGACGCTCGAATTGCTCAAGCTAAACGCCAAGCGCAGATGGAGGCTGAGATCCAGCGGAAGAGAGAGATCGAGAGCAGACAGCAGGCCGAACTCGCGGAGCGTCAACAGCAACAGGCTCTTCGCCAGCAAGCACATCAAGCACATCAAGCACAACTGCAGCAGAACCAGCAGCAGAATGAAGCCTTGCGAGCCGCAGCCGCAGCACAGCACCAGATGTCGAACGCGGCAGCCATACAGGCTACTCAGACACCTCAGTCGGCTACACAATCTCAGTTTTCGCCCACCATACGCCAGCAAACACCGATGGCCGCCGCTGCAGCCTCGCCATCACTTGGTGGGCAGGCTGCGCATCAACTTGGTGGCACCCCGATGGTACCTACCGCTTCGAACCAGGCCATCAACAGTCCTGCTCGCCCACCATCTGCCGTCTCTAATCACCAGAACATGATGCGCTCCGTCAGTCAGCAGCAGAACTTGAGTCGCACAGGCACACCGCACATCGTACAAGGAACGCCTGTAATGAATGCCTCCATGCCGAATCGCAACATGACGCCGACCCCGAGTCGCATGGGCCAGGGCAGCCCATCTATGGCCATGCAAGGGCAAACGCCAATGATGATGCAGACACCTCAGCCAGGTCACAACATGACGCCTGAACAGGCTCAGCAGATGCAACAACAGCGTCTGCAGCAGCAACTTCGCATGCAGCAAATGCAGCAAACAGGATCGCCAGGTAACCAGCAGCAACAATTCCAACAGCTGGCATTCCAAAAGGCTACGCAGCAAATCCAGACTCAGGGAGTTCCGCAAGGCCAGAATCCGCAGGCATACCGCAACCAGCTCGCGCAGCACTATTTCCGCCAATTGACCCAAAATCAGCAGCAAAGTCAACAGCAAATGGCTATGCAGAATATGTCACCTGGAGCAGGCATGCAGCAGAATGGCATGCCCAATAATCAAGGGACCATGACTTTTGCTAACCTGAATCTCCAGCAGATGCGCGCGCGCTATCAGCAGCACAAGCAAACGGTCATGCAGAACTACGGCCAGAACATTCCTCCCCAGGTCATGCAACAAATCCACCAGATGGAAATGCAAATCAAGCAGCGAGAGCAGCGTGAACAACAGATGCAGATGGCACATATGCAGAACAACATGGGCGGCCAGATGAACGGCGGCCAAATGAACGGCATGCAGAACGGCAACACCCCCAACCCCATGCAAATGCAACAGTACCAGCAGATGCTCCAACAACAACGTGCAAACGCCGCAAACAATTCTCGACTCCTACAAATGCGACAACAAGCCATGGCAAGCGGTGGCCAATTGCCTCAGGGCATGATGGGCAACATGAATACCATGAACAGCATGCAAGGTGGCGGCATGCAGGGCATGAACATGGGTAACATGGGCAACATGGGTCAGGGTATGAACATGGCGCAAATGAACCAGATGAATGGAGGCATGGGCGGCATGCAGGGCGGACAGATGAACGGCGGTATGCAGGGTATGCAAGGAATGCAGCCCATGAACCAACAGCAGATGACCCAGATGATGATGATGCGTCAAGCTCAGCAACAAGCCCAACAGTTGGGACGGCAGGGTGGACAGCAAGGTGGGGATATGGGATGGACCGGGTAGTGCCTTTGCCAGTCTCCCCACCTCTCCGCTCTGAGCTTGCACGCACAATCCCGTCTCCTTTCTCTACATGGCTGCACGCATCATCACGGACTTTTGGACTATCAAGCTGTGGATTAACAAGGTGTTTTGGGCGCTGGGAAAAGTGTTTGGTGTGCATTCTTTCTAAAGATACCCCCGGTGTTGGGTTGGTTATTTTATCTTTATTACTACTTACGATAATCATGGAAACGGCATGTTTGGGGTGCATTCGGGATGGCGGATTGGCATAATTGGGTGGGTCTTTGGACTTGTCGTTATTATCCTTGTCTCTTGCAATTGTATCTGTAAGGCTCTTATCAGAAATCCCATATACTATCATGATCTTGGCGTCTTCTTTCTGACGTGCTTCTTATAGACAATCCTACTATACTCGTGCTGTACACCTTCAGTTGTATCTTGCGTCATACATCACCTCACTTCTTGCCTTTTCCCTTCCTCTTGCCCTTCTTCCCACCAACGTTCTCCCACTTTTCCCCTGCGACGCTCTCGCCACCCTTCTCACCCTCATCCAACACGTCCGACGTACAAAACGACAAACCCATCTTACACGCCTCACACGCCACAGCGCCCCCCAGCGGACAGACAAACGCATACAATTTGACAGTCTTGTCGCAAAAGTCACACGCCAGAGAGCATACTTTTAAGTCCCAGCCAAGCTCTACATACTCCCCTGCGAGATCGGGAACCAAACCAGCAGACGTGAGAGAGTTGGCGTAGGAGATGTGGAGCTCGCGCGCCCATGTTCGTGCTATGCGGGCGCGGCGTTGTTTCCACTTTGTTGGATCGCAGAAAGGATCACTTGAATACTGTGGGTGAGAGCGAGAGACGTCTCGGGTCCGGCGCGCCTTATCATAGGCTTCCCGCTCCGCGATGAGTTCCTTCGCTTTGACTTCATGCTCTTTGCGTGCCACTTCTGCGAGCTGGCGTTCCTCCTCCTCTTTCTCTTGCGCTTTGGTCTCGGCTTCCTGCTTCGCAATTCTTTCCCTCGCTTTTGCTTCCTGCTCTATGCGGGCCGCTTCTGCGACTTTCGCTGAGCGGGCTTCTGCTTCTTGTATTTTGCGCAGGCGCTCTTCTGCTCGTCTGCGTTGCTCGAGTAGAGCGTGTAGCACCGCCCTGCGCGATTGCTCTGCTAAGAGCACCTCTCTTTCTCGTCGTATTCGCTCACGGCGAGCCTCTTCGACTAATACCTCAGCTCTACGCTTTCTCTCATCTTCTTGGCGCCTTATATTTTGTAGTATGCGCGCTCGTTCTTGTTCAGCTTTTACAAGCGCCTCATTCTCCAGTCGTTCGTATGCTGCGTGAGCGCTGCGGTAAGAGAGCCATTGCCATCGCACTTGGTAGTACAGTACATCGTAGGTGCCTCGGGCGAAAGGGTCTTTCAAAACGTCAAACGCTTCTCGCGCCTGTCTGAACTCGGCGGCATCCTCGCTCTCACAGGGCGCTTTCTTGTCAGGATGGTGTAGTAGCGCTAACTTGCGAAACGCTTTCTTGATCTCTGCTGCTGTAGCGGACTGCGGCAAGCCCAAGTTGAAGTAGTGGTCAGGAGTCTGTGGCGGTATAGGCTTGTAGTTCGGCATCCTGGCTGATGCTTACGTCGCCGCTCTCGTCTTCGTTGCTTTCACTCTTCCTCCCGAAGGTATGGCCTTATTGCAGTGCTCCGCTGTGCGTAAAGTGTTAGCCTCGCGCGCATCCGCGACAGTATGCGAAAGGTTGTTGACAGTTCGGCGAGGCCCGACAAAGGATTAGAGATCAGATATTTGGAGAAGAGTGCAGCCTAGTCGATTCGTGTCAAAGGTCACCCACGGGTGGGCCTTTGACGCGCGCTCACGTGCAGGAAAGGAAGGAACCTTGGAACAACAAGGAAAGAGCAACCGCGTGCCGCCTATCAGAGCGATAGTAAAAACCGTTACCGCAAACCCCGGAAACGTGAGTACTTTACTCTCATCTATCTTGCAGCCAACTATTTCCGATACCACATCCTCGTCGTCTTCGTATGTCTAATCTTTTTCTGCAACTGAAAGACGCCATATAACAACGCCTCAGCCGTCGGAGGACAACCCGGAACATAAATATCCACAGGAATAATCCTATCCACACCCCTCACCACACTATAACTATAGTGATAGTACCCGCCACCATTTGCGCAACTTCCCATGCTAATCACCCATCTGGGCTCTGGCATCTGATCATAGCACTGCCGAACAGCAGGAGCCATCTTATTGGTGACTGTGCCTGCGACGATCATCACGTCCGCCTGGCGAGGGGATGCGCGAAAGATGATGCCGAGTCGGTCTTGGTCGTAGCGCGGCGTGGAGCAATGCATCATTTCGATGGCGCAGCAGGCGAGGCCGAAGGTCAGTGGGTGGATGGAGCTTTGTCGAACCCAGTTGAGTATTTGATCCGTGGTCGTTCTGGAGTCTTTCAGTAAGTGTTTGAGTATGTCTGGGAGAGTGGCTTACAGGACGTGTTCCACTACACCCCTGGGTTTGGCGACGGCTGATGGGAGGAGTGTCTCGCTGCGCTTTTCATTTCGCTCTACGGTCTCGTGACGGTGGGAGCTGGTAGATATGCTATTAAATGATGAATGACTGAGTCGAGGACTTCTGAGGTGAGGTCTTGGTGTAGATGCTGGGCACTGTCAGTTTGATTGATTCAAGATGGAAAGAGTGGCATGATACCGAATGTGTAGTAGCTTCTCTGACTTAGAAACCTTCGCAGCTTTAACATGGCGACATAAAGTATTTGAAAGAAGCAGACTCATTCTTGCAACAGGAGTGCTGATACACGACGGTATGGGGAGAGCATCGATGCTGTGTCACGTGGTCGGCCCTTTGCGGTAAGGTGGCCGCAGTTAAAGCCCACATGGGCGGAAAGCCCACATCCTGAAAACCCACATTCAACCTTGGAAAGCCCACATCATGGGCGGCCGCGTCAATAACGAAGAGCCAGTCAATGCCAGACGCTATCGATACGGACGCAGGTAGCACATCCTATAGATGTAGCACGTGCAACAAGTTCTTTTCGAGTAACAGCCACCTGCGACGGCATGAATCGGCTCGTGAGTTCACCATGCGAACATGCCGCTTAAAGCTTACTTAACGCCAAAAAGATACTCGCAATCGTCTAAACACCTGCAGCTTCTGTAATCGCACGTTCGTCCGCCAGTAGGTTTTCGCCTGTGTTGGGTAAGCTCGTGAGACATTGACGTTGACCTTGCTTAGCGACGTCCTCAGAAGACACTCAAAGTCATGCCAAAAGCGAGGCGAGCACGATGAGATAGCCTCTGCCAAACCAGGACGACGAAGCCGGCTCAGAACGACCGAAAACCATGCACAGCTGTTACACGAATATGCGCACACTACCAGTGCCAGTCATTTGAGCCGCGATACCACGGCTGGAGTGGAAAACGCTCAGAGTCTTCCTCCCTGTCCCATCACATTCCTATATCAATATACAGACCCTCGTCGCGAGTCGATACTCAGTGCTTTCATCGGCGATCCATTGACTGTACGGTCGTCCAGAAGTCAAGAAAACAACGATGCAGACCATCAGCTTTTCGACAGGGATGTGGCACTCTTCGGCATCTTCTCAGACTTCTTCGTGTACAGCGATATAGACATCAGTGCTTCGATACCACCGGCACCCGGGAGACCCCAGACGACCACGCTTCTCCAACCTAGGATCGACGAGCTATGTTCTCAGCTCTTTATTTATAGCCAAACATGTCGAACGCCACACTTCAATCCCGAAGGCGCTTTCCCCGTGGTTGCCGCGAAAGCAGTCTTCACAGCAGAAAACTTCGAAGAGTGTATCTGGGCTTATTTTACCGTCTTCCATCCCCAGCAGCCACTCATTCACTGGCCGACATTCGATATGCATAAAGTCTCGTTACCCTTGCTCCTTGCCGTCGCCTTTGGAGGATCGGTACATTGTACACCCACAGACGGCGCCCTATCATCTCGTTCCTTCTTCCATCTGGCCGAAGATTTCATCTTCGAGCATCTACGCGATGTAGTCGCAAAACCCAATTTCGGACACGATCCCCGCGCTCTGGAAGCCGTCCAAGCTGCATCACTCATAGTAGCTCTGCAGAGTACTTTCAACAATGAAGCCACGCGCAGCCGAGTCGAAATATCTAGACATCCAGAAATCGTCGCTGCAATGAGATCGCTCAAGTTGCTCGAACCAACCGTCACTGTGAGGTCTCAAAACCACGTACCGGAGTGGAATGCGTTCATAGCCGAAGAGTCTAGAGTGAGAGCTGTACACTTCATCTTTGCTATGGATTGCATGGCCACCTTCTTCTTCAGCTCGGTTCCCAAGATCGCTATTGCAGAGGTCTCTCAGACGCTTCCGTGCAACGATGTGCTTTACGATGCGGCTACGGCTGAAGATTATGCTCGTTTACGTACACAGTCGAAACGCTTAGCGAGACCGAAGCCCAGTATCAAGCAACTGGTTTCTGCGTTGATGAGCGAGGACTGGTCCGATGAGCAGAAGAGTCCGCTCATTGACGTCCTTGAACATCGGCTGCTCATGATTTGCATATTCGGTAGGTTTACCCATCTGCATCGTCAGCATTCGTGGTCTCAAGCTAAAGCATAATTGCAGCACTACATTCCATCGTATTCGTATCGCGAGCCACTCTTTTGGCTCCGATGGTACATTCTAATCTAACCCGTGCCACGAAACGCTGGAAAGAGCTGTGGGATGCTCTACATGCGAAACGTGAAGCAGAGGAACAAAGACTGTTAGGCTTTGTCAAGCATGGACTAGAGATATGGTGGGTGACATGTAAATATCTCGAACTGGCACATACCGGCGATGTCCAGAGTCGCTATATGGCGCTCGCTCCGACGGACTCGTTGGTACATCTACATGACTTCTTAAAGCGGTATGCGAATTGTGTGGAGAGGTAATGTGGGTAGATGAAGACAAGACTATAACGAGAAACGCGCACTGTGTTATGATCACTTGCTAAGAAAATAGCAGCCATATATCCCCCACGCATCTACTTGAAGCAAGACATCAACGTGAAATTGATCATGTTGGAGATGTATCATAGGTTTATAGGTGAGAAGTACACTACAGTACCTTTCCCATCAACCTTCATCCTCCTATCCCATCATCCAACCCCCTAAACAAAAACCAGCGCACCATCCCTATTACTAATCCTCTCATCAAGATTAACCTCCCTCATCCTCCAATGCCCCTGATACTCCAACTCGCCCTCCAACCTCTGCCCCCCATCCGCCAACCGCATCCCCCTCGCCGAACTCCCAAACCCACCACCCCCACGACTGCTATTGCCACCGGGGACCTTGAGATTCTGGCCCGGCCAAATCTGGTCCGGGTTAGTGATATTGTTGTGGCGAGCAAGATCCTCGTAGGAGCAGTGCGAGAAGCGTGATGCAATGGCGCGGAGCGTATCGCCTTGTTGGACAGTATACGTGTTTTCGCTGCCACCGCCGCCGCTGGAGTTGGAGCCTCCGGACCAGCGGAAACTGCCGCCGTCGTTTTCGAGGATGCGGTTTAGGGATATGGAGGAGGATTGGTAGGAGCCGTCTGCGCGGCGGCATTGGGCGTGCAGCGTGTAGTCGCCATGAGCGTCGAGGCGTATGTCGCGCGAGGAGGCGCTGAAGTTGCCGCCGAAGTCGCCTTGCGTGCGCTGGTTGTTGGTGTCTTGGTGGTGTTGGATGGGAGGGGGGCCTTGGTGTTGCTGTTGGCCGTATTTCTTGCGCTTTTCTTCCTCTTCTTCTTGCTTCTTCTTTTCTTTGCGCTCGTCCCATTTGTCTTCTACGGCGTCTTGGCCTTTGTGGCCTGCGAAGGCTCCTGCGAGGGCGCCGATTACGGTGCCGGCTACGCCGTGGCCGGCTTTACCACCGAGGGCATGGCCTCCATAGCCTCCGGCTGCTGCACCCGCGAGACCGCCCATGACACCACGGTCACCTTCTGGGTCGCCCTCGCCGCCGTATTGGTTCTGATGACCTTGGTTCATCGAGTTGCGACCGGAGTTGGATGAATGGGCTGCGGCGGAAGGGAGTTGTTGGTATTGAGGAGGTGCCGCGTCGTAACCTCCTTGTTGACCATAGGACTGAGGGCCTCCTTGACCACCGTAGTATGCGCTGGCAGCACCATGGGGCTGCTGTTGGTGGTGAGGAGGCTGCTGGTGTCCACCGCCGCCATTGTAATTGTCTTGTCCATAACCACCTTGTTGTTGGTAACCGCCTTGCTGTCCGTATCCGCCTTGGTTGTAGCCGGAGCCGTCGTATCCAGACATGATGTTGTGTACGAAGGAATAAACTTAGATCTTGATAACTAGGTTACAATAGGTAAGGTTGAGTGTATCGCGATTTGACTCGAAGATCGAAATTCAGCGGGAGCGGGAGGGTCATTTAAAGTTGAAGGTAAGGTTCTCGACAACGTCACACTGTTTGGACAAGCACGATCCCCGCCGAAGTAGCACCTTCTTATTTATACACACCCATGACACAATACGATGCAAGTCGCGACTGCAGTGAACCAGCCACAGTGTCGTCACCGCCACTTTTCGGCGCCAATGTGGGGATGCACTGTG